TGGCATTGATCATCAAGTCGCCCCTGGAGAGGCTCACGAAAGACTCGCCCTGGTTGAGCGTCGCCACGCTGTTCTTCGACGTGCTTGCGAGGTTTACCTCTCAGACCGCAAGCTGACTGACGCCCATGGAGTGAAAGAAGCCCTGACTTATGTCATTCCGCAACAGAATGCCACTCCTTCAGTTGCTGGATTCACTCCGAGCCAATGGGTGTTGGGTTATCAACCTGAGTTGAGCCACCTTCTGGACTCCAACCTCAACGCTGCACAGCTGGCCGGAAACAACATCACGTTCGAGCAGAACTTGGAACGTCGCACCTCTGCACGTATGGCACTCACAAGCGCCGATGCTGACTCCAAACTTCGGAGAGCCTTGAGCAGGAAATACCAAGGTCAAAGTCGCATCTTCCGGCTTGGTGAACGTGTTTGGTTCTGGAGAGACGCCCGACAGAGCGCACTCAACAAGATTCGTTGGCTGGGACCCGCTCATGTGGTGCTACGTGAGGAAGACCCCGATGCACCTACTGAAGTCACCAAGGTCAACACCTACTGGCCCGCCTACAAGAGCCAACTCATCAGAGCAGCACCTCACCATGTCCGTGGCGACATCCTTGGACCACAGCACGTGCTGGACGACTTGCAAGCATCGCTCAACATGGTGCGTCAACTCAAGTCTCGTGGTGTCACTCGATACTACGACCTCCGGCGTGTCAACCGACAACAACTTGAAGATGTCGAAGAAGATGAGCAGTATGATGATCCTGACGGACCACTGCATGATGAATCTGAAGAACCACCTCGTCATCGACTTCGCCTGGAAGTTCCCGAGGCTCCAACAACCTCGGATCCTGTGGCAGAATTGGATGCCAACGAGTACGAGCCGACTTCACCGGCACACTCGGGCTTTGCACCAACAAGCCCAAGAGCACCTCCGTCAACCATGGCAGGACCACCGGCAGCACAACCTCCACCTCCTTTGGAGATGCCGACATCACCAGTGACCACCAGGTCCAGATCCAGAGCCCCAACAGTGGCTGAACCTAGTGAAGAGCCGATGATTCCCTCTGGACGTGAGACACCACATCCACCAGCAGAGGCACCACCGCCCCCGGCTCCAAATCCAAGACCTGTCTTGGACCCCACCACTGCCTCCTTGTATGAGACGGTTGATGCAGAGACATTCAGCCAGCGTCGCGCTAGATTCAACCGACAAGAGACGCTCAGCTTTGGACCACTCCGAAGCCTACGGCCACCACCTGCACAACCATATGAACTGCCTACACCATCGGCAGAACCAGTCAGCACGGAAGAGCCGCCCCCTGCAGCCAGTGCCGATCCCGACCTCTCAACGGCCGATCGAGCCCCTGGGCATGCATTGCTGAATCATGCCTTCCAGGTCACCGATTTGCAAGCCCACGGACTACCTCAAGGCTGGTCCTTTCATGATGGCTACTTCCACCTGGATAAACGGCCTCGAGACTACTGGGAAGTGAAAGCTGGCTGTCTCATTCGACATCATCTCGTGCCAAGGAGACACAAACTGTGCTTGCACGAGCTACCCAAGGACAGTCCCTACCACCACAACCAGCTTGATCAAGTCCGAGTCACCGTGATGTATGACAACAACGGCAAAAGCCATCAGATCACCGATGACGGCACTGATTCACATCCTATGGATCGCACCTGGACAGGACTCAGCATCTTCCAGATCAAGGGCGACATCCGACGTGAACTGGCCATGTATGCCAAAGCCCCACTACAAGGAGCACGTCAGATGGGCAAGACTGCCAAGATGCAGCACGCCAAAACCTTCAAGAAGGACAAGAACAAGAACAACCTCACAGAGCGTCGCATGACGCCAGATGAACGTGCCCAGTTCAAGGCCGCCAAGGTCAAGGAATTGCAAAGCTTCTTCGACAACCAAGTGTGGCAGTTCGAGACCACCCATGAAGCAGAGCCCAGCCGGACTTTGACAAGTCGCATGCTGCTCAAATGGTCAAAGAATCCCGATGGAAGTCCAAGGGCGAAGGCCCGTTTGATCGTCAGAGGATTTCAAGATCCCGATGCCTGGGAGGGCACTGTTCCTACATCCTCTCCAACGACGACCCGGCTGTCGAGATCTATGTTGCTCAGCCTGGCTTCCACGATGAACTGGCCAATTTGGACTTCAGACATTGCCACGGCTTTCTTGCAAGGCAAACCGCAAAGCAGGAAACTATGGGTACAACTCCCAAACGAATGCCTGGAACTGCTTGGAGCATCCCCCGACACACGGATGCTACTCCTGAAGCCCTGCTATGGTCAGATAGATGCCCCAAGAGCTTGGTACCTGGCCGCCGTGGACAAGCTGAAGGGCATGGGGTTGAAACAACATCCACAAGATCCCTGCTGCTTCCTCATGTATGAAGGCGAGCTCAACCCTGAGTTTGACCCTGCTGCACCGGCACCGCACTTGTTGGGCCCGCATGGTCTTTGTGGCATGGTGATCATGCACGTGGACGACATGCTTGGTTGTGGCTCCACCACCTCGCAGTGCTACAATGACACCCTGGCCAAGCTCAAAAGCTCTTTCACCTTCCGTGAATGGAAGACAGGTGATGATGGGAAGCCCCTGACTTACTGTGGCTGCGACATCTACCTCAATGAGGACGGAAGCTTCATGCTCAACCAAAAGAGCTATCTTGGCAAAGTGAAGCCAATCTCCTACGACCGGAAGCGCAACCTCACAGAGTCTTTGAACCAAAAGGAAATCACACAGCTGCGTGGCTTGCTAGGTTCCTTACAATGGCCTGCAGTGCAATCTAGCCCACACCTACAGAGCAGTACATCCATTTTGAGTGGCTATGTCAACAAAGCATGTTTGCAAACTGTAGCCGATACCAATCGTCTACTGCGTTTCGCTAAGGAGCATGCTGATGTTGGTTTGCACTATGCCCATCTGGGCCCTGTTGAGGAGCTTCGCATGGTGTGTTTTTTTGATGCTGCATTCGCCACAAGGAGTGATGGTTCATCACAAGCTGGCTATGTGATCATGCTGTTGCACCAAAGCCTGCTTGAAGCGAATGGCCCTGAAGGCGCCTACCACATCCTCGACTGGCGCAGCATGAAGACACCGAGGATTGCTCGGTCATCGCTTGGCGCGGAAGCTCAAAGTGGAGGACAGGCATGTGACGCCCTCGAACATGCCAGCATCTACTGGAGTTTGCTCATGGACCCTCGGCAGAGCTTGCAGCACGTCTTGAATGCCCCGTCGCTGTTGGCCCCAGTCATGGTCACGGACGCCAAGGCTTTGTTCGACTCCTACCACAGAGAAGGTGTGTCAAGTTCTGTGGTCGACAAAAGGGTCTCTTTGGAGATCAGGGTCATGAAGGACCGCCTCAGTGCTTTGGGCGGCAACCTTCGGTGGATGTCCTCCGAACGACAGATCGCAGATGGTCTGACAAAAGAGGCTGCACGGCTTCTCCTGGCACAACGACTTCGTCATGGTCGACTCAAGCTGGTATGGGATCCCTCATACAAAGCCGCGAAGAAAAAGACGAAAGAAGAACTTCAGCAGAGCCGACTGGAGAGTGTTCAGGAAAGCCCCAAGGTTCAGTTTGAGGACGAGAGCATCAGCCAGCCCGACAACCTGGACCCACACGAGCCCTTTGAGACTGAAGAAATTGAGCACAATGTTGATGAGCACCTGCTTGATGAAGACCAGGACCCAACGAATGAACAGGTCCTTGAGAATGTCATGTGTGCTCGCACCGATGACGCCATCGTGTATGTCAACCGTAGGTCCAGCCATGTCGTGCCTGGCCGCTTGACTAAGCCCTGTGCAGGCTTCATGAAGTACCTCCTCCAGCTCCTTTGCTTGGTTGTGATGGTTCCCCAGCTAGTTGTTGGCACCGACCTCACCACCGTAAAGAAAGAAGAAGTTGACTTTGTGGGAATGATTTTGTTCACCGGCTTCCTCATGGTCATGAGCTCAGCATTCCTGGCTGGCCGTTGGACCCGCCAACCTGGACGCCCTGTGGTGGCAGAAGCTGCAGTTCAAAAGGACGAGTTGGTGATTCACTCCCGCCTTCGTGAAGAGCTGGCGAAAGCAAAAGAAGAAGTGTCTCTATGGCGCAACCGCGCTGTGCAGTTCAAGTCCTCAGCTTCTGAAAGTCGAGCTGCTGCTGACATGGTGCTAGCGTACCAGTGCACAGCAGAGAACCTGCTGAGCGAGGCCAATGATCTCCTTCGCATGTGCATCAGGCAGATGGATGAGCACTCCAACGACTGCCCCTTTTACCAGAAGATCTGGATGTCAAGGCATGGTCATCGATGGCATGCCACTCCTGAGTGCACCTCTCTGGTTGGTCGAGAAGCATCGTCCTTTCGGATGATTGAGAGATGCCATCTGTGCAGCGTCCGCATGCTGCCACCGGATCTGACCGATCCACGAGAAGGAGAGCCCGCAAGGGTGCTGGTTTTTCGCTGGCTGGACGCCTACGAGCAGCGACTTTTAGACACATGAGGAAAAGAACTTTTTCCCCGTGTGAAGTGTACGCTGTACACTTAGGTTCTTGTCAATGAACCTGTTTCATGTCACCCGCAACTCACCTCTCAAGCATGGGAGGGTTCATGCGCGCTGAAAAGGCGCGGCCGTGAGGATTACTGATCCTCGTGCTTTCTTTTTCGACACGGACTTCGTTCGCCGTGCACGACAAGTTCACATATATTGTTTTTTTCCATAATCATTCTTTCTGACACAACCTCTTTCGGACTCGACGAAAGGACACGCCGCCCGTGCCCTCGAACAGAAAGAGATGAGGAGAATGGCGCAGAGAGAAAAAGGAAAAGGTGCAAATAATGGACGCAGAGAATGCCGTGCCGAACAATTGCGTGTTGACGTGTGTGTTGCCAGTCCGGAGTTTATTAGTATTTTTCCTGAAGGTTGTGAGGGTACAGTGTACAGCCTATCCTCGCTTTTTTAACAAAAAGTTCGTTTAATGGTATACACCTTGACCTCCCAGGCCCTTGGGTGAAGGTCGCATGACCTGTTTGCACGATGGTGCTGGGAGCTCAAAGACTGTCAGAACTGGTTGGGTGGAACTGGCCGTCTTGCTCCTAGTAGCGATGCCAGGAGACCCCAGTAGCGTCCTTGCTCCTAGTAGTAAGGCCAGGAGCCCCTAGTAGCGTCCTTGCCTTGTTGCTTGGCCGTCTTTTGGCTCAGAAACCTGTAGCTGTAGCTGCAAAAGTGGGTGGACCATGACCGAGAATGCCAGAGAATGTGTGACAGCGGTGGGAAAGAGGCATGACGGATCATAATTGCCAAGGAGAGGGGGCTTCTAAAATTCTAAAAGGATCACAAGGCCTGTGGATTTGACCCCTGACGGCAGCATACACAAAAGCCTTGGAATTTTTAGGCTGGGAATCCGAAGTTCGATTTTCAAGAACTACGTAGGTTTTTACTTTTTTACAGGAGCCTTCAGAGAGAGAGAGAGAGGGACAAGCCCGACACATCAGCAAAGTTCTTAGGAAAAGCGTGACGCGTTACCTTGGATCAAGCGCAGAAAAAGCAGTGAGGAACGCACCAAGAACAATCGATTCGCCCGATTCACAGCGTAGAAGCACCTCGCCATGCCTTCAAGGCCGTGCAAAGTTCATTTCGTGTGCTCATTGGCCTCGCAATCCCTCCAAGCGTTTCACAATGGGAGGAGGTTGATGCTTCAGAGGGACTCGTTCTTAGTTCCGTGACCCGGGCGGAACGGTGGCAGGTTCGTTCTGTCCAGGTGGGGCACGGTGGCTGCTTGGCATCGATGTCTGCCAACTCCACTCACTTTCTGCAAGCGATATGGCACGTGGATTTGTTAGATCAACACAGTGAATCTGTGAGCAAACTTGGAAAATCGATAGAAGTGGCCCCAGGCGTTGTAGATGTTGCTTAGAAGCCTTTGTTTTCTGCTGCGCTGCTTGCTATCCTCGAAGCATGGTGCTGTTGAGGTCTTGCCGGCTCTGCTCACAGTAGCCTTCTTGAGCGGCAGTCGCCCTGCTGCTGTCCCGAGGCCGAGCGCCAAGACATAGCAACATGGGCGATGAACATGTGGTGGCCATGGTGGCGACATCATGTTCTTCTAAAGTCAATGTAGCACTTATACCATTTGTGATTTGTACCTGTTGAAGGCCATTGCTGTTAGGTTGAAGGCCATTGCTATTAGGTTGGAGGCCATCGCTTGTAGGTTGGAGGCCATCGCTATTAGGTTTGAGGCCAGGGCTTTTAGGTTGGAGGCCATCGCTAGTAGCGCTTTGGTTGGAGGTCATGGCAGGTTGGAGGACATCGCTTCTAGATTGGAGGCCATCGCAAGTAGGTTGGAGGCCATTGCTATTTGGTTGGAGACGATCGCTATATATCGCTATCAGGTTGGAGGCCATCACTATTAGGTTGAAGGTCATTGCTAGTAGGTTGAAGGCCGTCGCTATGAGGTTGAAGGCCATCGCTAGTAGGTTGGAGGTCATCCCTATTAGATTGGAGGCCATCGCTATTAGGTTGGAGGCCATCGCTATTCCCCTGAGCACCGAATATGGATTACAATCAATATGTTCATTTTCACATTGATTCTTCTATGAAATCAATTTCAGCATATTGATTGGATTGATTGTAAAATCAATCAAAAAACTTAAGAGTTTCCACAGAAAAAACAATACCACAGCATCAGAGTTTCAACACCAAAATCAATATGAACATCTAGACAAAAATCAATATGAATCAATATGAAAGTGCAGGCAGGCACCTCTTTTCCTCAGACATTTGGAGGAGGCTGTTTAGTGCGTACGTGGGGAAACATGAGTTGATTTGACCAGTGTTTTCTGACTGAGCTTGTCCCAGGGTCCCAGACCTCATCGTCGCTCAGCTGTTTCACCATCAAAGCAAGGTTGGAGATTGAATGTTTTCCCGTCAAAGGCAGTGCAACAGGCTCCAGTGCTACTTATCAGTTGGGTTGCCCATTGCTTTTCATGTTCGCCAATTATTCGCGCCCAGGTTCCACCAAATCGATGCGGCAGTGGCAACTTACACGAACTCAACTCACACCAAGTCAACAGCTCACCAACTCATCTCAAACCAACTCAACTCACACCATCTCGTGCCGATGACCCTGACGCGTGTGCGGATCCGAGCGCATGGCAGACAGCGTGAGCTGTCTGCGCCTTCAGCTCAAGCAGCTGGCCGCGTGCGGGCGCTGCGGGCTGCGGCGGCTGGCAGCCGGAAGCGGGTCATGTTGGCCGTGCCCCTTGGTACGAATTATATAAGCCATCGACTTGTAACATGGGTTTCACATCAGGAGGGCGACCTTCTAGTTCTGATCAGCGGGGTGAGTGCTGAGCTGCCTCCTGCTTTTTGCGACGCGTTGGCTGGAAGACAAGCTGGGCGTAGTCTGGTTGCAATTGTTGCTGTCAAGTCCCTTCTTGCTCCCTGGCCTAATTGAATGTGGCAATGAGTTTTCTTGTGCGACCACCACAAGAATGGCTAGCAGCTGCTGCTGAGTCTGGGGAAAGTGTTGCTCCAAGAACCTCTAAGGATCCCATGGAGTACTTCCCTTCGGCGTGGCCACGTGCTGATTGCATCTACCGACGCGCCAGAGAGTGTGATCCACCAAAGTCCCGATTTGGTGACTTCGCACTCAGGCGCGCAGTGTTTGCTTTTTGCCAGGTTATGTTTTTTTCCTTTCCTTCACTTCTCCGTGCCCTCTTCTCCCTTTCGCTTCCTCCCCTTTCACTTTCCTTTTTCCAGCCACTTCAAAGGCCATTGACCCCTTCTCAGAAGAGACGAGTGGCAGGGAAAACATTGCAGCCGCACCCCCTCCACGTTCCGTGCTGCCTTTGCAAGGATGTTTAGTAGATTGTTTGGTTGTGTTTTGTCCTGCCATCAGGGCTGACCGTCGCAGAGACGCGGGCCACGTCCCCCATGTGCGGGAGGTTTCCGCCCCGGTGATCGTGGCCGATGCTTTAGGGGCACCGCTATAGGTCTTGGGCATAACAATCAGTGTCTCTGCTATTAGTCTGTGGTGACGCGTGACTTCGTGAAACACCACCGTCATGGGCCATATCAAGCGCTCTCTTTTATCTGGGCGTCGGAAAATCTTTTTGCAATGCCCAGGGCGCTCCTGAGCTGAGTCTCGCCTTTCAGAGGCGGCGGGGCGCTTGGGGTGCCTTGTCTGCGCGTGGCTGCAGGACCTATGACGATTGTTGCAGCAACCACTCAGAACAGCTTGCGACGAAGCTTCTTGTGGCTATTGTAGTTTGATTCAGTTTTCTTCGACCAGGATCTTGCCTATGGATCGGCTGCTGCGAAAAGAGCTTGGCAGTGCATCTTGGACAAACAAAAAAAAGGCAAGCAGCAGCAAATTATTTTATTGGCTGACAAAGAAATCAGATCCTTTCAACTGTCGGCTCAGCGCAGCGTTTGCAGAGGAAGTGATCTCAAAGCTGGAGGAAGGGGCGACCCCTTTTATACATCTTACATGTTGTTATTTTCCCTCTTTCAATTGCATTGTTCGTGATGACTTCTCGGGTTGGGGCCAAAAACACAGCTAGACATTGAGCTCTTGGACAACGCCTTTTGCCAATTGAGGCGATCCGTGGCGCTGGATCTTCTTGAGGAATCCTGGCAGACCATTGCCCCGCATTAAGGAAGGTTGTTTTTGCGTGGGTTGCAGTAGGAAAAGTGTTTGTGTAACCAACCAGTTCATGCTGTTTCTTTTACCGTGCTATTTATGCTTTTTTTCACATAAGCCGGGGGTTATCCACAGCCCCGACTGATGACCCAACGAAGTAAGCTGGTTTGACTGTTTTATTCACAGCCTGTTTCAGGTGAAGCTCCGGTACAGACAGTCAGTTTGATTGACATGCCACCAAGGTTCCTTAGGATTCAGGCCTTCCTACCTGAACGTTCCGCCTTTCTCATCGTAATTCATCCAACAGTGATTGCGTTGGGTTTTTGCTGGAATGCCTTGCGGATTTTAGATTGGTCAACCACTCATCCAACGATAACAATCGGCTTTTTCTTGCGCCAACTTGTTTTCCAACGAAGGGCGGATCACAGGTTCCCGTCAGGTGTTCAGATGGTTTCGGTTGTGGTGATTTGGAGTTGGAGCTGCTTCATTGCTGTTCCCTCCGGCCAGCCACCGCCCAGTCCTTTCGCGCCAGCCACACAACTTGCGGCTGCAGTTGCAATCGATGGACCGTAGATGGGGGCCACAGAAGCCATGGACTGGTGCCGACGATGTTTGAAAAGGAAATCTCTCGACCCTAGAGATTGGCGCGACATTTGAGAATCGGAGGGTCCAAGAGGAAATTCAGCTGCGAGTGACTCCTCGGTGGAGAGTGCTGCAGCGGGGGAGTGGGAGTCTCAAAAAGTTTTACTGTCAAGATCTGACAGGCTCTAGGGGACGACGTGACAAGAACACCCACGCACGCCGGAAAACACCTTGAGGCCGATGTCCTTCGTTAACTGAAATATGGTTTAGTATGGACAGTTTGTATTGCAAAAGCCGGCCAACAGCTTGGGCCGCATTATAGGTATCCAGCGAAGCTAATCTAGGGGGTGCATGGGGGAGTGGTCAAACTGTTCCCTTGAGGGGCAAGGCCAGAAGAGCGCTTGGAAATTTGGAAAATGGGTTGGGGGCACTGTGCGTTTTTGAGGATGTTTCAAGGATGTTGAAAAACAAAAACGGCAAACGCTGCAAATTGCATTGCTGGAGTCCCGGACTCTTGATCCAAAGGCATATCACTCCCCTGTTTTTAAGCGGGTGGTCCGGTTGTAGCTGATTAACGGAGTGTGTTACCTAGAGTGTTGCTCCAAGAGTGTTTTCAGAGGGTGCCTGACCATCTGTATCAGCAAGAAAGAGGCTGGCTTTCGTCCCATTCTCTTCTCATAAAAAGAATATCTCTATATATCTATATATATACTGTTTAAGTCCAATTTTTCTGTTGCTACTATTTTTTGGCTTCCGCCAATACAACGAGAAGGCGGTTTGCCTGGCCTCTTGCTTTGCAGGGCAAAGTCGAGTAAACAT